CAAATAACAGAATTTTGGATGAAAAAAAAGTAAGTTACAGAATAGAAAGGTTGATCAATTGAAAAATTTTTCATTTTTCGGTGTTCCAAGATGACAATCTACATCTACCTCAAAAATACACAACAGCATTCTTGAACAATTCCCAAGAAACAATAATGTATATAAGCAAAGGAAAGACAAAAACAAACAGATCTTATTACTTTCTTGGAATAATAGTCTCCTATTTTCAATTAACATTTGTTAAAATTGTCGTCTGAGGCGTGGTAACTATCTGGAAATGAACTATCTTGGGAATGAAGGTATGATTAATGAATCATAAGACAATAATAACCACCGCTTATAATTACATGATATTTTCAGGAGGAGACTAGGTTAATATAAGGAATATCTAGCGTCTCAGTGAAAGTTAATTGTGATGTAGGTGAGAACGTTACTTGTTATGTTCTCAAGATATATATCCATGTCAATCAATTTTTTACAAAAAGACAATAGACTTTTCACTCCATAAATAGTTCTCTCTTATGTCCACATTTCATACACAAACTTGCTCGATAGTATTATATCTATATTATCAGTTATCTGTTTGTAGTCTGTCCTATATTTTTTCATCTATCTCGTAGGGTTGCAATGTGAACCCAAAAGATGTGTTTATTTATGACAACACAATTTATTTGTCGAGGGGGACGCTCTCAAGGACTATTTGTAGCCCTCGTGGTTCAACTCGTGGTTCAACTCCCTAAGAGATGTAGATGTTACCCTTAGAATTTCAAATGGGAAAGAAAGTCAAGTGGCACATCATTTTGACTGGTGTTCAACTCTGCTTCCAATGATACCCTGACTTATTATTTTTTATGAGCATTTTGCGAGATTCATGATTCATGATTTGAGCAGAACTGACAGGAATATCAGGTGGTACCATTCCAACCCTTTATTAGGGTTAACATTAGCCATCAGCTTCAATTAATTGAATTCAAAAACTATTATAGTAGTGAAATGTAGATGGTAGTGAAGTTGTGTATAGTAAATGCCAAATTTTTATTTCTCATCGCAGAAAGTGTACATATAGCCGTCCTTTTTTGCTACTTCTGCTGTAATAAGTTTGGAAATTTGAACGATATGGTAGTATTGTTCATACAGTTGTACCTGTTGGGCGTTTTAATGAGTGTATGAAAGTGTAAAAATGGTTTACATTCTACAAGGCAGAATTAAAATGATTATAATTTATGGAGAAGTTGGAAAGTGTGTACGAAGGGCGGTACATATTTTCAACGAAATACATCCAAAGTGTACTGTAAGCCACCAATATGTACTTGATTTGGTGAATGAGTTTCAGGAAACTGGTTCAGGGACAAATAAAAAAATAACCGTAGAGTACTAAATGAAGCAGCTCAAATTGAAGTTTTGAGAACATTTGCTGCAGAGCCCACATGCTCCTTACGATAAGTCTCAGAACAGACGAAAATGTCACGCCAAACTGTAAGAAAAGCATTGAAAAGGCATACATTTCATCCTTATAAAATGCAGATTCTTCAAGAGCTCCACGATGATGATTATGATAGAAGAATAGAGTTTTGTGAAATCATGTCTCATCGAGTCAATATTCTCCCTAATATTCTGTTAAACATCTGTTTCAACGATGAGTGTTAATTTTTTCTGAATGGGAATGTTAATAGACAAAATTGTCGCTATTGGAATGACGAAAACCCACATATTTTTCGGGAAGGGCTTCCACAGCACTCAAAAAAAGTAATTATTTGGGCTGGTATTTTTGAAAATACAAAGAAAACTCAACTGGCAATCTGTACCTTGGAATGCTTGGAGAAATTATCGATCCTCTTATAACACACGAGCTAGAAACTTAAATGGATGCAGAGGATAATGGACCTATGCAGAAGGATCTGTTACATTTTCAGCAGTACGGTGCTTCAACTCATCATTTTACTTCCTTCCGACAGTGGTTAAACGAGAGATTTCCAAATAGTTGGATGGCACAAGGGGATCAGTTGAATGGCCTTCGAGATCACCAAATTCAACACCCTTAGATTCTTTCTTTAGAGGCATCTTAAATCAGTTGTTTATAAAACACAACCTCCTGATATTGAAGAACTCAAAAAACGAATTACAGCGCAGTGCCAGTCAATTCCTTGTGAAGTTTTCCGTAACGTTAGAGGGGAGTTCGAAAACAGACTTCATTACTGTTTAGAGCAAAATGGACGACATTTTGAACAGTTTACAAGATAAGGATGAGTAAATTCTATGTTTTAAATGTCTTTTTCGCCGATTAAATGTTATTTTGTAAAAAGGAAATAACCCAAAAATAAAAAATCCCAAACGTAATACATTTATTCCTGTCATCCAGAGGTTAGAACAAACAGTGCCAGCTACTCTTGTAACCATTTTAATCAAAAGGAGTTAATATTATAATGTATCTCAGAACAGACATTTTCTAATTACATGTGTAAGTTGAAACGATATATATTTTTCGGAAAATTTTCATAAAAAAATAATAAGTCAGGGTACCATTGAAAGTAGAATTCAACGCCAATCAAAATGATGTGCTACTTGACCCCAATTTCCATTTAAAATGCAAGGGTAACATCCACTCCTCCTAGGAAGTTGAACCACGAGGGTACAAATAGTCTCCGAGAGTGTCCCCCTCGACAATAAAATTTACCTGTTTTTTTGATTCACCATATTTTTTCTGGAAAGAAGATATTGAGGGTGGGAAGTTTTCAAATTGACACCCTGCATAAATCATACTCTTGAATTACCCTATCTATTGAAAAAACCGCATCGAAATCCATTGCGAAGTTTTAAAAATCTAAGCATAATACATAGGGACATGGTTTTGTTTTATACTATGTTGTTCTACATTTCCGGCTTCTAATATGTGTAAATTCATTTTAATTGACTTTGGTAGGGTGAAAAGAATACTTCATTATTTCAGACAATATCAAAATTCGATGCTAACAACTGTTTCAAAACACTGTGTCATCTTCTGAGCGAGTTAGCATTGGGTGTTGTTCAAATTGTGAAGTATTCTTTTCACCCTACCCATTCAATACCTTAATGGCTGCAAAAAAAAGACTCTTAAAGAAAATTATTTTATGGACAGGTTACACTAAATTGATTCGCCAGATGTAAATCTCAAATGAATACTAATTGTTTCTAATGAAAAATGAAAAATAAAACTACCATTTTTTTGTTCCAATTGTATTTGTAACTAACTTTACTGCAGTTTCGTCCTATAAGGACATTTTCAAACGACAAACGACAACAATATACAACGACAACTTTAAAAAAAAATAGATTTACTGATAATCAAAATGTTAGAACCCTCCATTACCGAAAATCCCATACGCAAATATTCGTCTTATTTTTCGGGGCAAAATTATATAACCAGCTTCCTATGGAGCTTAAAACAATATCCAAAATTGAAAAATTCAAATTTGCTATCAAAAAGTATATATTAGACAATTCCAAAATACTTGACATATTCTGAAAATATATTGGAATGAATTACCAACAACCCATTATTTAGTGCTGAAGGTAACTTACAGTTTACTTTCTTCCCACCTTCACCCCCATTGTAATTTCAATCAAATTTCAATTTACTGTCACTTTTATGTTTCTTTTGTTCTAAATTGACAATAAAAAATTAATAATTTTTGTTTGAATTATGTAAGCATGTACTGTTAAATGATATTCCAACTATGAGTGGAGTGAAACAGCACAAACAGGCATTCTGATGCCTAGGTGTATTTCACCCATTTGTAATGGTTTTGACATAATATGTTAATGACCAAATTTCACATATTTGTACTGAAAAATTGAAATAATTTTGATTTCATTTGATTTGACTATTGTATTTCTAGTGGTTAGATTTGTACTGAAAAATTGAAATGATTTTGATTTCATTTGATTTGACTATTGTATTTCTATTGGTTAGATTCGTCCTGCACTCTCTGGGAGCATTACCTGAGAACCAATCTGTAGCTGATCACTGGATTAATTTGAGCAAGAAACTATACTCTGAGGAATATTGCATGAATATCTTTGTATATAGTCCAACTTGGTTGTTGTAGTCAAGGTAGCAGTTTTTCCGAAATTATAGTTTAAATATTCAATTCAATTTCTTGGCTTATATATTCCACCTCTCAGCAGTCAGATTGACTCATCTCTGAAAACAGTGATACTGTTAAAGACAGTGTTGAATTTCACAATAGGAAAGATCAATGATCAATTTTTCAAATGAAAATGATAAAGCTCGACCCTGAACATTATTGGGACATGTCAATTGAATTTCAGAATCATGGTAAAACCAAATAAATTGTGTTTCATTTGCCACTGGTGACAAACACTGCTTTGGACTACAATATTGCAATTTATGAAATATTCTCTATTATTTTCTGTGAAAGTACTGCACATATTCCTCACTGGCTAATAATGTAGCTTTTTAAACGTGAAATAATTTTTGAAATCGGTAGTTTTGGAGTTTATCCATCACAAACAAAAAATATTTCAGTTTATATTAGGAGTATTTCATTTGAGAATAGAAGAAAATGTCTCTTTGAGCCCATAATTATTATATAAAACTTAATATTCCAACTCAAAATTCATTACTATCTATCGTTTTACCGTGTTTACCGTGTTAGGAATCACACGTTGAAAGGTAAGACCTCGTTGGTCCTTAGCTCGCACAAGTTTCTCAACTTCTGAGAGTTGTCGTTCGTATGGGGGCAACAGCTGATTAACGAGGAAACAGATTTAAAACAGATTTTTTGTTATACAGACAACATGTGTTTGCTATACAATTGCTTCTTCTAGCGGTCCCATTCAGTATGAAAATTCCAGAAAGCTATTGTATAGAGAAACATGTGTTGCGATTTTGTAAACTGTTCAGCGAAAATCTAACAAGGAAAAGTTACTGTTTTTCTATATACTGAGAGATTGTTTTTGTATAACATTGGTTCAGATTCAGATTTTTTCTTCACTTTCAGGTAGCACCGCCACCTACAACGGAAAATGTTACATATTTTATAATAGGCAACCAATGAAGTTCCGAGATGCTCTCTCCTTCTGCAGATCGAGAGGAGGTACTCTTGTCGACGAAAGCAATCCGGCACTCCAGGGCTTCATCAGTTGGGAGCTATGGAGGAGACACAGAAGTGACTCCAGCGGCCAATACTGGATGGGTACTATCAGAGATCAGGATACCCGAGGATGGAAGTGGCTAACAGGAGACGATGTGACAGTATCTTTCTGGAATTTGCCGGTGGGAAATGGTGAATGCGCTAGGTACGACGGAACTAAGGGATGGCTTTGGTCCGATACTGATTGTTCGATGCACTTGAACTACATTTGCCAACATCGTGAGTTTCACAATATTTATAACAAGGTGTTACTAAATTCTCTCTCTAAACAGTAATATACTATTTTAGGCTATATTTACAGTAGGTTGAGCTTCACAGTAGTTGGAATCCGGCAATGTTTATATTTTAGGTAATGTTTCAATATTTTTGAAGTGCTTAAGGATATTAAAGAAAGTTTGAAAGTATTTGCAAATATCTGAGTATCCAGGATATTCGAAGAATAATCTAGAACGTTGTAGCATTTCCCAACATTAAGAATTTTCGAAAATGCTTTTTTTTAAGGACAGAACACAAGCACTACAGGAAAATCCTCAAGGCGCTCTAAGAAGTTTATTCCAACTACACGCAGTTCTCCAAATGAAAGAGTCCTTAAGATGTGAAGTTTGAGGTGTACTGAGTTGCGTCGCGTATTTCTGATATGTACTTCTCTTCGTGGAATCAAATGTGCCCAGTCATTTGAACACCTCCCGTGAAATAATCCATAAAAGAGTGACAAATCGTCAACCTTTCTTCGATGTTCCGAACCATCAGAGTTCCAAGTGATGTTCAAGCTCCAATCAGACGTAAGGCTCTTTTCTGGATGGAATCCAGCAGCTTCAGGGTATGCTTATGAGCGGAGCTCCAAACACGAGAACAATACTCCAAAGAAGTTCTGGCCTATGCTTTATAAAGCATCAAAAATTGCTGAGGTGTGTACAGTTTTTGGTTCGGAACACTCTCCCAAGCTTGTGAGGAGCAGCCTTTACAATTCCAGCGATAAAATTGTCCCAAGGCATATTGGTGTCCATTTTAACCCCCAACAAACTTATCGAAGCTGAAAGCGGAATTGTCTGTCCTGATATTTTTATATCCGGTTCGGAGGCATCATCTTTTTGGAGAAAACCGATGCCTGGGTTTTCGTGGCATTGAATTGAACGTGGTTACTTTCACCCCAATTCGAAATTACTTTTAGTTCTTCATTAAGATATGCAACCCCCTGCTACCGGTGAAGATGTGCATCTGCACATCTTCCGGTATGGAATAACGATACACGTATGCTGTCGTCAGCAAAACAATATATTGGATTTTTGGTTTGTTCCAATTAGTCGTTAAGATACAATAAAAATGATTTGGAGACGATATGGATCCCTGTGGAACACCAGCGTTGATGGTAAAAGTATTCGAGATATGTCCATCGACGGTCACTTGCAGGGAACATACCTTCATGCCAAGGAATATCAAGCGCAACGGCTCTTGACCTACACGTTTCTGGATTACGTTATTCCAAATATGGGTGACATACGATAAAAGGTCGCCTGTTGATTTCCGTTTCCGAAAGCCATATTGATGATCGCTCAATATGTTGAAGATTTCCAAATATTCAAGGATATGGTGATTTACGGCTTTCTTCATGATTTTTGATATCACTGATAGCAAAGCGACTGGTCTATAGTCTGGAATTTTATAGGGCATTGCAGAATTCATGAAGTTTATGAAATATCACAGAATATTGAATATTGTGGTATATAATTAAATATTCAAATAAAGACCATGCACGCTCACGCAAAATGTCTCGCGGAAGAATGCTCGAATCATTTAAAATTTTGGTATGTTATTGTATTCGGTCTGCTGATTAACCAATAAATACTGTTGAGTGAAATGTAAAGCAAACTTAACTTATTTAGAATGGATTTTACAAGGCAGCATTTGGCATAATTTTACCGAAAAAAAGTATACACCTACATTCATATTGTAAATTATACTTCAAGTAGGCACTGACATCTTTCCTGGCTTCGCGGTGGATAGCAGTGAAGGGTTTTATCAGGCTACTAGCGACCCGCCCCGACTCTGTACGGGTGCAATGCTGATACTAAATATAAATATATCGGCTTCCCAACCGGTAACGCCGCAACCGCTGTGTCCTTGCATTTTAAATCTGTAATATCTTTAAGAAAATTCATTTGAATTACATACTGTGAAGAGCCATATCGATCTATGTTGAATGTACAATGTATTTAAGGTTGGATAAGGATGCTGTATCGTAAATAAGTCATTATTTCTCGTAGAAAGTAAAGGATAAATAATGGGTATTTTGGGTTATCCCTGAGAGATAGATATATACCATTGCGGATTTTTTTCATATACCTTTTGGAGGTGTACAGTTCATTTTTTTATATATCTCGTAAGGTTCAGACAGCGTTTGCGCTGTGAGCGCAAAAAAGTGTTTACTTACGACATCACATTAGAAACCTCTGAAATGATCAGTGTTTCTCTTCTATATTATGCATGTTATATACATATAAACCTTCCTCTTGAATCACTCTATCTATTGAAAAAACCCGCATCAGAATCCGTTGTGTAGTTTTGAAGATCTAAGCATTCACAAGGACAGACAGCAGGAAACGATTTTGTTTTATACCATATAGTGATTTCAAAAGTTTCTTTCGTTTTTTGTGTATACTTTAAACTGTAGTATCTCTGAATAATTATTGAATTTTCAAATATATTTTATTAGAATCAAAAGGGTTAATGAAAATTTTATTAAAACAACGATAAAAATAAAATAAAAACAACAATTATTATATTCAATTATATAATAATTATTGAATCAAATAAAAAAATATTCGTCATTAGAATCAGTGTAGTTTTACCAACGTTACACAAGTTGATTAATTCCGTCAGCATAAAAATTGTTTGCTAGGGATTCAATAAAGTCGATGAAGTCCTTTTTTGCCTGGTCTTGATTGACAAAGGTTCTACTGGTGAGGAAAGTATCGTAGTTTCGAAAAGATGGTAGTCGATTGGCGAGAGGTCTGGGAGTATAGTGATTGAGGCAGAATTCCGACGCTCAATTCGACGATTTTGATACATTTAGTCGATTTCCTCACAACAGGACTCTGCTTTGATGATTTGGTCCGGTTGCATAAAGTTATAGTGAATCACACCAGCCGCTGTCCACCATACACTAACCATGTTTTTTTTCTGTTGGATTTTCGCCTTTGTGAACTGTCTGGGTAGCTTATTGTATCCAACCACTGTCATGTACGTCTCCTGTTGTCAAAGAGAATCCATTTTTTATCACACAAAAAGGATCGTTTTGGATGCGCAAAAGCAAAGAACCAACGTCGAACAGTGCATTCATTAACACTATCGTTACCAAATGCCTGATTAATTTTTGGGGTGTTTCGACAGCGCTTTGGTCCAATTTGAATTCGTAGAGAAAAATTGACCCAAAATCGCTTAACGACATCATATAGTTATAAGCTGAAAAGAGGCAAAAACATTTTATTTGGAAAAAAATGAACCGCGGTAATGCATAAAGTACAAAATTCTCTATCGATCATTCATACCACGACACAGCAGAATGAATATTTATCGAGATATGAAGCTTCAAAAACACATGACATTGAAAAGGAAAGAACTTCTGGAAAAATCTGATACCTATAATTGCCTATAATTTCCAATCTTGATTAACCTAAAAATATAATATCAATGCCAAGTAATATCTGTTGCAGTGCAATATCAAAGGTAGGATCAATTTTTTCCATAACTTCAAATTTAACTACTAGTTTGTATTATCCAAAAGTACGAAATAATCTACCAGTATATGATCTTTAAAAATATATGAAAGGCTTATACAAATTTTCAATTATCGAAATTATTCAAAATCAAAATTATACGGCATAAATTCGATTTTCTCATTATACTCTGCGATATGGGTCAGTTTATTTTGGCCATAAACTGTCATTATTAAACTTTTATATCCTGCATTTGAAAAACTATACACAATCATTTGTGAATCGAGTAACACAATGTTTATAAACGTTTCAAATCCTGCATAATATTTTTAAAAATTTTAAAAAATGTTGAAGGAAAAACTAGAAGTCACTGGAATATTCCAGAAAAATTATATCACTTCTCAAAATAACCAGCTGAAATGACATAAAAGGATTGATTAGTTAGATATTAAATAACTTTCGAAGTCAATATAAATTAATTTTTCCACAAATGAAGTTGATTCTCTCAAATAATAACTGAATATATTATTTCAGAAACCCATTTTGTGATTCCTATTGTACGAAGTTTTTCGGAGTCCGAGTGCCGTTTTTTGTATATGTTTCAAAGAATATTGTTCAAACGTGATTATACCTACAGTCAGAGTTTTGATTTTTATACATGATGACGAGTTTGAAGTCAAAATTTTCTATTTAGAAGTTGAAATTACGTATAGAAAACACGTATGAGACCGCATGGATATTTTGCTCACACTCATGGGCACAAATGTCCTCACACTATTATTCACAGCAACAATTCAATTCTGAATGATTGAGTTCTGACCTCCAGGATTGCCCTGCTGCTTACAAAATGTGCTGAAATAATTTCCTCAATATCAAATATTAAGAACAATCTTTAGATATGAGTAACTTCACGTCATTTTTGCTTCAGGCAGAAACTATCTGAACGGAGTTAGTTTTGGATTTTAAACATCTTTATGAAATATATATGAAAATTAGCACTTCAACTTTAGCACCTAGTATCGATAAATTGGCTGTCGCTTCAAGCTAGTAGGTATACATACTTCCAATTAGGGCAATTCAAAAAATTAATAAGATTTGGTGGTCCTGAGACTATCTATAAAATAATGTACATCACATTGATGATCCTCTATTCGTCTATTGAAACATTCGAAAGATCATAATACAATTTAGAATTACTTCAATTGGTTTTTTCCATAACCTCTCATGATCTATCTAAACTTCAGAACCCAAAGCATGTGGACGTCCGGAGCAACCTCCAAATTCTACAATGATGGCTCCAAACTTCAACGTTGGAACATCGATAGAGTACGCATGTGATGAAGGTCACCTTCTTGTCGGCCCTACTCAAAGAGTTTGTCTAGAAACAGGTTTCTACAATGAATTTCCTCCAGTGTGTAAAAGTGAGTATCACATATTCAGTAGATCTGTATTTGATTTTGAAACCCAATTTTCTGATTCATATACTAAATATATATATTGTGGAAAAATGACTTGTAACTCTTCAAGAACCGAATATTCCAATTAAAGAATAGGGTTTTTATGGAATGAACTTCTCGAAAACATGTTTTCAACAGAAATTTGACGGCAACGTAAATTTTCACTTGCGCTTCAGTACTACTTTAGTAGAACGATTCATCTTTTGCCACAAAATAGGCCTCAGTTTCAGCAACAACCTTTTCATTCGAGCGAAATTTCTTACTGGTTAACATTTTTTTGAGGTTTGCGAGAGAAAGAGTTACCCGTTTTTCAAAGAATCTCAAATTCTTTAGACCCAATACTTATCACTCCAAAACAGTTTGAAAATATGGGTAACAGTCAGAATAAAAATGAACAAAATCAACAGATTTCTATCAACATCAACAAGTACAAAATGGACATCATTTGAATGGAACAGTAAATATATAAAATGTCTTATTAAGTAGTTTCTATGCATGATCTACAAATATCTATGAAAAAATTATTTTGATGTATTTACTGTTTTTTTTTTTCGGAAGTTTTCCACATAACTTCTAACAAATACTATTTTCTCAATATTCGAATCATCCATCATTCAAGTTTGTGGGGATGGATTTTTAATATGTATGCATATTTGTGGCTCTTTCACGGGTAAACTACTAAACGGATTTAGATAAAACTTTACGTAAATACAGCTTATAATCAGAATAACAGAGATGTTACAATTTACAAAGGTTTTGTGTGATTTTGGTCATAATATAACGTATTAAGTAAGTCGGAAAAATTCTTGCTCCCTGCGAGCAATATTGGCGTGCGCTGCCTATATCGTTGAAGTTAAATACAGATAATGTACCGTGATATTATGTATCTTGGATAGTTCTAAAGAAAAGTACGCGATAGCATATATCTCCCATCTAGTGGCTACCACAGTAGCCACTATATGCAAAATATTGAGCCATAAATACAATTAAATTGGATACGTTTTTTACAATGCCCATTTTAGAATATCTATCAAATTATATCTAAGTAATTTGGACGAATTGTTTAGAACTTACCACGATAAGATTTACTTGACGCAAAGCTTACTGGCTTACTGGCTTACTGCGTCGCATCTATTGTAAGACAACGGAGAACGATGCGCAGGGGAAGAGGAACGGTATAAGCAATGAAGCGTCATCGCCGAGAACGCGAGCCGAACGCGACCCGAACGCGGGCAGACGCGTGAGAGCAGACGTTGTTGACGGTTGTGTTAGTTTTGCGAATTTGTTTATAGGTAACATAATTTGATTCTCGAAGCTATTCATTACTCAGTGCAGTTGGCATATTTTTTTAGTTACTGTATTTTTGTAGTAAAAATATAAATTACTAACTGTTGCCCGCTCTTATTTCCATCCCCAAGGGAAAAATAGGGGTTCAAAGATGGTATTGAATTTCTTTAGTTTTGAAGTTGAAAACTGAAGTTTTGGATTAAACATAATATTGTAACTATTTGTTGAAAATGGTCTGTAACAAAAATTAATACGACATACCAAATTCTACGCGGGCGCTACGGCGAACAATTAGTATAAAATAATTTTCAATTGTAACCGTTCAAACCGGTTGACATTGCGTTGAACATTTCCGTAGAACATAAATTGCAATGTTTCCACTGACATGAAATATAATATTTACTCCCCAACTGAATAACACATTAAAATTCCGTTAAAAATGGTGGCATCCAAAACACTGAAACTGTGTTACGTCATTTGTTGATGTTCACTCAGTGGAATTTCAATTTAGCTGAAAACGAAATCCAATTATCGAGCTTTATTTGTCGACTTCATTAACCCGCCACATGTTGATTCCAGGAATCCAATGCGGATATCCAGCGGATATCGCTAATGGGGAGTACAACTTGGTGAACGATAGCGTTGGTTATTTATCCAGGGTAATCTACACCTGCGACGAAGGTTACGAAATGATCGGACGGGCTCAACTGGCGTGCGATATTGACGAGAGATGGAATGGACCACCACCTAGATGTGAAGGTTAGTGTGAAAATTGAATAGCTCCATTCATCCAATTATTAAATCAAAAATAAATAAGACATAAAGAGCTACCGTGGTATATGTAACTGGTATTTCCTACCTAAACTACTGGATAGCTTGATAACTCATTAGTTTAAATTTTATTGTAAATAACGTTTCACGAATAATCAACATAGTTTTTCTACGAGTTACCTACAGTGCCAACTCATAGGTGCTCGAGCAAAATATTAAAGAGATTCTGGGGAAAAATACCAAATGGATGCATATAGATTTCTCCAAAGCATTTGATCGTTTAAATGAAATGAATAAAAAACTTTTGTCTGAATACCACTGGTAAATTTTATTTATACGACCGATTTCGGGTTTGACCCCATTATCAAGTATAAAACTAAAATCTGAATTTTGAAATATAGATTTTATTAGAATTTTCAGGTATGTTGCAAGGACAGGTATTTGAGAGACAGGTATTCGAGAGACAAATACCTGTCCTTGCAGCATACCTGAAAATTCACACAAAATCGGGATCAAACCCGAAACCGGTCATATAAATGAAATTTACCAGCGGTATTTAGACAAAAGTTTTTTATTTATTTCATTCAAGTGATCATGAATTACCATAAAGTAAACAAGTCATCAATCACACGCATTTGATCGTATGTGTCATAATATATCATTACATAAGATGAGGAAATTTGGTTTCACAGATCTTCTGTATCTCTTCGGCACCATATCGCCCATCCCAACTCGTTACAAGGCGAACATCAGAGTGCTTTCTCAGATTTTCCATAGTTTTCCCTGAAACAAATATTTATATATATGGGACAAAAATTGAGTTTTGAAGATAGCAGTACATATCAAATACGGCATTATTCATTAGTAGTACGGTGTAATTAGACCTAAACCTCAACATCCAAAGTAAAAGTTTTCCTCCAACACCAAATTGCTCTACATAGTCCCCTTATTGTATGGTAAAAAGTTACACCATTTTGAGCGTCGGGTTTGGGGGTGAGGGGGGGGAGGAATTTGAAAAATCACTAGTTTTTTTAGTTTTTCGTAAATATTTCAAAAACTAAGCGGTTTATCCTAAACATTGTTATATACAAAAATGTTCTACGTTAAATTTTAAATAAGAATGGTCCTTTTCATAATCACTCTAAATTGTACGGTTCAAGAGTTACAGACGGTGTAAATGTTAACATTTTCGTAATTTTGATAATTTTTTAAAAAAATAAGCTTCGTAAAAGAATGTTGCTATTTCAGTGGCCGGTGGTATGTTAGTGATAAGCCCTTGAAGGAACGACAACCTCACCACCTTATCAAGGGGCACTCTTTTTTAAGGGAAAAGAGGCTTCCACAGGCCTAGGCCATATAAACCTGTGGTACGAACATTGCAACATAAATTCACTTCTTAAGCATAAATATCTTTCAAATTTGGAATGTTCAATGTCTTTATTAACTTCACTCATCCTCCAGCACATTATCCTCCTCCTCTAGCTCGTCGTCTAAGATGTTATTATTGTCCATGTTATCACATGCTTGGCCTGAGCAATTGCTGCATATGCTAGTGCAGTTTAGACCACTCCTTCTGCATTCACAATTACGAACGCATTCATCTTTGCAAGTACACATTATAAGGGACAGTAATTCCTGGGGGGCTGCAGGACGTGCTGTTGTAATTGGTGTCAGGTGGTCGCCAATCTTCTTCCAACCCCACTCGAGTGGATCCTTATCTTCATTCAGCCACTGTTGTACCTGGTGGTAGGTCCTAAATGAATGATGTCTGAACGCTCCTGAAGTGGGGGGGTAGTGCATCCAACTTCAGTAATGCATGTATAGGCTGCTTTGCAATCGCTTTCAAGTAGGACTGGCAGCGGAGACAATCTAGATCTTCAGTGTTCTTGGCTCCAAACATTGCAAGTAGGAAGTAATTTCCTGCATCAGCCACTGCACTGGGGTCGGCTTTGGGGTTGTTGAAGACCAGAAGTTTTTTTTAACCAATTTCCAAAAAACTAAAAAAACTACTAAATTTCCTACTTTTTCTCCCCCTCCCCCCCAAACCCGACGCTCAAAATGGTGTAACTTTCTACCAAACAATAAGAGGGTTATATAGAACAATTTGGAGTTGGAATAAAACTTTTACTTTGGATGTCAAGGTTAGGCCTTTTTTTAGGTTAATGACACCGTACTATAGTTTGAATAGGTTCTTTCCAAAATCATTCGAGGCAGCAGTTCGCAAAAGTATGTTCAAGTCTATGTAGAGCTTCAACCATGTGTACTGCTTGAATTTTAGAACACGATGAATCTTGTTCAAAATGAAACCATGTTCTGAGGCTTGCTTGAGATTTCTGTAATGATTCACATACTTTTTCTTCGACTGCAAAGTAGCCATCAATTTAAATTGTTTCACATCCGATGTACTTTCGGTTCGAAATTTTTTTGTCTTAGGATCCACATGATCGGGGCAGAACGGTAAATCCCTATGCATATAGTGAAGATTGTTTGGATACTCCATATCAACTTCTAGTATATAACCTTCCGAGGCACCATCATGCACAGTTGTGATATCAATGTTGGTGTCCATCCACTCAAACCAGCCGTATGGTAGATATTGAGACATTGCCCAACTATATTGATCATTAACATCGAAATACATTAGGTATGAGTCAGCTTTGGCTTTATCATAATTGTCACCCATGTATTTGTTATTAGCTGTGACTCTTCGCTTGGAGCAAACTTGACTCAGTCCACCTCTTGTTTCATTTTCTAAAAACATCAACTGATCTACATCGGTGAGAAGTTCAAGTTGCTGTTTCGTTTTGAATAACATAGCATCCCATGTATAGCCAGGCAGAGTGAAAAAATTGGCAGGATCCAAACCGTAAGTTTTATGACAACTTGAGCGGAACTGCTCGAAGACATAGCCAGAAGCATGACATCCGTCTTCAAATACAAATCCGTATATTTTCCCAATGTGTTTATATTAAAAGAAGCCCATATCAGCTTGGCACGTAAGTAAGATCTCCTAGGACATGGTTTTTCCTTCAATTTAATGTGATAGGTTTCGATAGGGGGTAAACAATATTCATTGAATTTTTTAAAAGAATCGATATAGTCATACGGCATACACCCTTTTTTGTCAAAATCTACTCTTCATCATTCGAGAGGTTGGAGAACTGTGATATGAGATTTGGAAAATCTGATATATATGATACCAACGTATCCAGCTAAAAACTTATTAATCTGAATGAGTTAAAAAATCTGAAGTGGATCTTGCTACCAGAAATATTTTTAGTGAAGGAGATATGCTTTTCCTTTGTTATCGGCCAAACGGCGACACGTCAATTGAGATCCAATGCAATATTTTCTATACAAAAATGTGCATCATACCCTGATAAGTTATGAAACACGATGGGAATTGTTTGATCATTTTGATAGTTTATAAGGCACTCATTGTGTGATGGTCCGCGATTGATTATTTTTAGGTATTAGACGATTATGGTCGCATACTATTTTGTCTGATATATCGAATGGTTTGTCACATATATGACAATGAGTTGCTGCCTGAAAAAATGTTTACTGGCTGGCTGATATATCTACATCAAATGGACACTGGAACACAGTTGCAACATATTCAGGAAACTGGCCTATCTCGTCGGCAAACCATTTCATACAATTTTCACCACGAAATGATCGATAAAATGATAGTGTATCATCATAAGAGCGTTTCACATAATATCCAGTAGGTGCCGAAATGTGTCGTTGAATGAATACCTTACAACTTCAGAACTTTTGAATAATCAGGATAAGATAGGATGTGATCTGAATGTTGATCTGGATTCAACGCCGAAAAACAATGGCCCAAGGGAAGCGGGCATTATCATGATTTTTCGTTTGATTTGAGAAGGCAGTTCAATGTATGATGAACCTCTCTGCGGCACAAATTTGTTTACGTTAACCCCCAAATTCACTACTTCTTTCAACGTCTAACCTCTGTCACGTTCCTGAAACTCTTCCAACTTTATCATGATTGGCTCCATAACATGTTCCTCAAACAATATATTCATATCAGTGTTACTATGGATGGATGCGTTAGATATTGTTTAATAATTATATTCGTTGAAGATTCGATCGCCTTTGACGACTTCAAATCCTCCACCGAATGTCATATTATCCTTTAAAAATGCATCTTTTTTCAATGCATTTTGAATTAGTCTCACAAAAAGGGTCTTATAGTCGATCAAAAATGAAGCAGGGTTCTTATGCTTGAGATTACTAATCACTTCAGTCCGGATACGCGAATTGAAAGCCGATTCTGAATCATCCCAATGTACTCGATTAGAGGTTGTCTCTTTCCTGCTAATCAGGCCTGCTCCTTTCTTCATCTCAAATTTCATCTGATTACGTAGTGTTGCAATATTGACCAATAATGCTAGTAGATTCTGTTTCCCTCCCATAGTAGCAGTATTTTTCAGATCTTTTTTTATTCGTTCAGAAGCCCTATAACACTCTTCAAGTCCATTCTTCACTATTTCTCCTTGTATTAATCTTTTATGAGGCTCAAGATAGATGCGATATATTTCATCACATCAGCAAACATTTTTCAAAATTGCAGAAGCAGGTTCAACAATAACTGATTGATCGAAATGGAGCGCCAGAAAATATTCCTCGAACAGTAAATTAGAAACAGCACTACCTAGCGGGTAAAACTTTGCGTTAGAAGCAATGTGACCAAATATGAATATGAATAAAATCTGCCATTGAGACACATGTCTTATGTAATCATAGTATATCAGAGAAATGAATTTCTACGATGATATATTGGTCTGAAAACACTATATTTACAGGAACAACAGTAAAAATGTTGACAAAAATGTTTATCGCGCTATTACAGTACCCAATTCGATAGCGACAAGTTGCATTACTGTATCTTTATCATGCAGCAAGTGAATGTTATACTGATTAAAAGAATAGAGAAACCAATATGCGAAAACTTCATATTGAATAAATTGAGATACTTGTTTTCTCCTTCTTTAGTCTACACTGATCGTAAGTATCGATATTAGGTCGAATCCAACTCATGTATTGGAATAGAATGCTAGTTTGTATCAAACTCCTAGTATTGCACTTCTGATGGATATATCATACTGTTCTGTTTCTGTTCGATATCTGTCGCCCCCATATGAACGACAACTTTCAGAAGTTGAGAAACTTGTGCGAGCTGAGGACTAACAAGGTCTTACTTTTTAACGTGTGATTCCTAACATGGTTGCAGAATCATCGCAGCTTCAACCAGATAAATTCTCTCGAGAAGAATACTACAACATAAGCATAAGCATGCATGGTGTGGAGCATGCGTGTGTATGTACGAAAAATGTGTGCATTATGTAATATTTGGGAACTCACAAACCAGTATAGCAGGACATCGACAGAAAATGACCACGTAGTCAAGTTGAAGATCAAACTCAATTTCAAGGTCAGATCATGAAATGGTGGAGGGGAGGAATCAGTTTTCAGGTTGAAGTGTGGAAATACCTCCTTTTCAGTTGAATACACGCTTACATCATATGGTATATTGGCTTGAATCTTGGATAATATTGAGTTTTAAGAACAAGATAGTAATACATTGCATTGCGACATGTAAAAGTTCATGTCGAGAATATATTTTGGTGTGAAAAATAGGTCTTTTTTGCTGTAAAATGGTGTGTTGTGACTGTATGCATTGTTTTGGAGAACTTACAAACCCCGTTTAGCATGATGTTGGCAAAGAATGAACTTTGTATTTATTATCACAGTCAAACCACACTCCACCGTCAGATATTGCAATATAGTGTTGCATTTCAAACGATTAGATTGTATTGCAATGCGTGAAAGTTCTTGTTAGGCGAGCATATGCATGTGTGAGAAATATCAATCTATTCTACTGCAAAATGGCATGACCCTACGCATCTCTTTTGTAAACTCCGCAAATCTCCGTCTAGCATAACCTGGGCAGTGAATAAACTCACGTTTAGTTTCAAGCTCAAACCAAACTGCTCTGTCAGATCTTGACATGGTGGGGGAGAAACAGACCAAAGTGAGAACAAACCTGCTTTTCAGTTGAAATCATATCAATATCATCTACTATATGGCTTCAGATCTGTAATGAATTATGTTTCTAAAAGAAAAACGTAGTCTGAAATTTTAAATTATTACATATTTTCAAGCATGCGGAAGTTCATGTAGGGCAAGCATATGTGTGAGAAATATCAGTCTGTTTTCCTGTAAAATGTCAAGTGTTGACACAACATGTCTACAAATCTCCGTCTAGCATGACATTGGCATAGAAGTCAAAGTCAAATTTTAGTAATCATTTTTGATACATGAATGTATATATGACACGTCACATTTTACAAAAGATATTTTATCTTATAGCACTTATATCAATAACAACACATGTTACACAAAAATATTATTTTCATACTCTATCAGGAAGTAAAAACAACTAACTAAAAAGTCTTTGACTTTTTCGAAACTGACAGTATCAAATATCTGGAAATAAGCAAAACATTTCAAAGTGGAAATAATATCACTTATATGAAGGCAGAAAATATTCGAGTTATAATGTTCATAAGGAAGCAACAGTATAGAATTTTCATTACCATCAACAATATAAAAGACAGAAACATCCAATTACAATCAATCATTTACGACCACAATACATGGAACAAAAAAATCATTAATGCACCTCGCTACGAAAAAACAATTGGATAAAGAAATGCGACATATCTGGGGTCACGATTTCTTCAGAATTCCCGATTCAATAAAAAACATGAATAGCAACAAATTATTCAATGAAAAGATTAGAACTTGGATTTTCGAAGCGGAAAGAGAAATTATTCAAAATTTTGTTGCACAAAATAGTCTACACTGAAATTACATTTGAACATCTCCTGTTGTATGTGAAATTAAATTTCTAATGACTTTGTCGCAATTAATTTCATATTTTTCAATATTGTATTACTTTTTCACTATTTTTTGTAAGTTGCTGAGATACTAGTAATAATTATTACATCACTAACAAGACATGCTTGCTTTCATCTAATAAATTAGCGGTGAACTATATAATTTGAAAAACAAATCTTTCAGGTCGAAAAATATTACATGAAATTTTTATTTTAGCTATTCAGTGTGAACCTCCAGCAAATCAAATCACCAATGGAATAATGCGAATACCCAACGATACCTTACATGGATCAGTGATCGAATTCAGTTGTCATTTGGGTTACAAATTGATTGGTCCAGATACAATCACTTGTCTATCCAATGGGCAATATGATTATCCACCGCCAACTTGTCAAGGTGAGTCACATTATCTAATTTTCTCTATCAAGATGTATTCGGACTACTGGGATGAATCGTATGACGTTGGTTGAGAATGTATCATCGATAGTTGTTGAATTGGTACTAGTGTAAATATACTGCTATTCCAGTTTGAATTGTAGTGTGTTTATCTTTAGAACAGATTAGTTTTTGTGAAAAAAAATTGGGTTTTCTAGTTCTCCATCCTTGAACAAAAAATGTAAAAAACGTTCATATTTTTTGTATCAAGAAAGAGAAGAAAGCAAACAACTTTTATAATACGGTTGAACACCCGTATTATAAAAGTTATGATATACTTGTATTTGCCGATGAGCCTAGATTTGCATTCACTATGAAAATAAACTCCATCAGTAATATACTTCCATTAATATTTTTCACAAAAATATATACGTGCAATACATCCGATTTCGAAATACAACCATTGGAATGAAATGTTGAATTTTTCATCGAACGAAATTACTTTGAATTTTTTTTTTGTGATTCTGATGATTCAAAGGATTTTGTATCCTCAACATAAGGATAAGTATTGATGAATAAACGGAGTTTTTTGTCGAAAAAATTGAGTAAGCCATTGTGAAATAATGAGAAGATAATTTTTTGTAGATTATCTCTGTATTTTATACTGTTTTTTGGGTTTATAAGCTTCCACAATCTGAAAAAATAAAAGTCAAATCAGTAGAGAATCTGTTGAAGTGTATAAAGTGAAGTTCAAACTGGAAATTTTACCCCGAAAAGTAACTGTGTACTGGAAAGTCCAATTATAATTGGATTTTCCTTACTTTATTCAGTAACTTGTCAAATTCATAAATTCTGCATACAAATTGAAAAAAAAAGCAATTAAAAAAAATTAAATATTGATACTTAGCTTTCTCAAGTGGTTAAAGTTTCTATTGATTTAGCTTCTATTTATTCAGATTGTGGAAGATTATAAACCCCAAAAAACAGTTTAAAAATTCTTTATCTCTTGTTACTTCATGTGAATGAAGATGTTTTATTACATTCATCGAGAAGTTATTCGTATCTACACTAGAAAATTCATATTATAAAATTTACCCTTTCTACACGTATATAATAATTTTTCATTTTTATAATTTTTAGAATATGAAAATACTTCCAGAGAGTCAATACTTATTCTCAATACTCAAATCTTCATTCATTAAAATTTCACTCCTTGAATTCTCAGTTTCTTCATGAAATAAAACTACGTTGGATCATTTCTTCCTTATTTCTCACTCGTGAACTCTTCAAGTAATCAAGTAATCTGCTATAGATGAAACCACAAGTCCGTAGGATGACTATTGTTATTATGCTATGTACTATCATGGTATTGCTAAATAACGAATTTTTTTTTGAAAATGGGAAATATATCAATAAAGATTCGAATTCTTGTGGTTTTACTATCGAAAATAATAGTTGCATAATATTACTGCATGAAGGAATTTCCTTGACGAATTTTTTCTTTTCAGAAATCGCCACAACAACACTCACGACTCCCGAACCCACAAAACCAAGCAGACGTCCATCCTCCTCCTCAACAACTCTAACTACCCGTCAACGAACCAGGGGCACTCGTCCCCCACCAACCACCATCAGAGCGATTGAAATCATGAAAGTAACGAACAGAACAAGAAGACCAGTTTCTAGAATCCCCTCAACAACTCCGGTAAACGTACCATCTTCAGTGCATCCCTCGATCATAGTTGCAGGCCATCCACAGGACAACGAAATCGCCGGTAGTTCCAATATTCAACATGGAGAAATACCCAATGTCAACGTGCCGTTGTCCGTGGACGGAGAACGCAGAGAAACGTTTGGCGCTAAACTGAACCTCGGGGCGGTCATCGCTTTGGGAGCTTTCGGAGGGATCATCTTCTTGGCGGCCATCATAACTACAATAGTAATATTGGTCAGAAGGTGAGTTATTGAAAATGAGTTTCACTTTCTTGGAATGAGAATTGACATTAATTGAAATCATAACTGACTATCTTCTGGTGCATATTAGAAATTTGGGCTTCCATTGCTTTGAGTGGTGTCAACAGAATGAAAATATATAAAGAATCAAATGGAATAAAAATGAATTGAATGTTGAAAATTTCAGAAACAATCGGATTGAAATATTGGATTGAAATACTGGATTGAGTCAGTTGAAAAAGAAATAATGTCGAATTGTCGAAAATGAATATGCAAGTTTGTAAGAATGTTAATTTGTGAATCATGATTCGAACAATAATTGAGGAGTTGATTATATACAAATAATACAAATTGAAATAAATCAGAATGCAATAAAATAAAATGATTGAGATGAATAATGAAAAAAATTCAAACGAAGTTAATTCATTACGTTTCGATTCTTCATCAGCTAATAAATCTTCTAATCCTGATCATCGAAAGGAGAGGAAGACTGATTTGAGATGAAGTCGACCAACAACGCATTCAGTCAGGCTACTGTGGAGATACACAATATATGCAAACTTCTAATCGAGCGAAAATCAGTCTACCTTACATTTAACCAGAAAGCGAGAAGCGAGATTGGAGAGTAGAGAGATAGTGTCGATGCTCAGGAATAGTTCAGTTATCATCCGAATATGATTGAGGATATCAATTATCGAATCGTTAAGAAGAAAGTTAGTTTTTAGTGTTCTCATTTCAACTGTGATTTTTCATCATCCATCCCAATTGTTTTTTAAATTTTATTATCATTTGAATTGTTGTTGTTCTCATTCAATTGACATTGCAACCCCTTATTCATCAATGTATTTCTATTTAACGTTACAATAATTTGTTTTCTTCACACATTAGCATTCNGACCAGAAGTTTTTCACGAAGAACGTTGTTGGCTTGAACTTTCCTATAAGGTGCAATTTTTCCCTTCTTATAGACAGCAGACACAGTGTCACATCCTGTGAAGGCGTATGTAACCAGAAGTACATCTTTCATATCCCCAATGCCTTGCTGAATGTCAGAAATAATGTACACTTTTTCCTGGTGATTTCCTTTTTTAGGTACGACCATTTTCAGTTTATTCCCTGAAGGTGCGTGGACAGTCAACAGTACTAATAAGTCCGTGTCATCACCAATAACACACGTTTGAACATCTTTCTTCGCTTCATCAATAGCTGTTAAGACTACTAATAGGTCAGCATCACCCGATGCTTGAAGAACTGTGCAACCACATTGTTGCAAGTGCGATGAAAGGAGGGTTATTAGACCCATCTTGTTTTTAGCACTAGCTAAAAATTCATTTTGATTTATGTTGACATGGATTGAGTCTTCTACTTTGACCACAATGTTGGAACGTGATCTTCGTAGGTGTTCTTGATCCTTTGTGTTACTTCGTTCGTAACCATCAAAAACAACAGTCGCTTTTCCATAATGAGTACATACGTAATCACTATATTGCTCGCAAATCTGTTTAAATGTAGCAGGCTGTTGCCAGACAACACGATGTAGGAGGTGGCCTCCGTCAATTATATAGGACACTTTCACTGGGTCATCGATGTTTGATGATTCTTTTGAATCTGAAACCAAAACCGTCACCATTGATGATTTTTTCCCCTTCCTCATCAAGCCAGATTCGTCAAACAGTGATGTAGGATATGCACAGAGTTCAAACTGAAAAATTTCCTCTAATCTCTCATCACTCCTTACTGTACACACCATCCGATGTAAGAGAGTGTTAGGATTTACACATACCATGTCGTTGTTAATTTTCACCGACTTCGTTATAGAGGCTAGAGACTTGACAGCAAACTTTCTTTTCATGTGTATTTCTTTAAATGTTTTGTTTTCAATAGCTTTGATGGATATGGCTCCTATTTCAAATGCTTTATCGCAGTTTACAGTTTCATCACCTATAACCCCTGTTGACAAGGAAGAGAGTTCAGGTGATTTAGAGAACGGATTATGTTCTGCTTGTACTACCACGTTTCTCCTAACAATTATTTTTACTTTTTCAACCTTCTATGGTGCCTCTCAGCCTCTTTTTGACTATAATACTGTAGTATATTATTACTCTTTAATTAAATCATTTACTTATTTCTATATAGCTTTATTTGAAAAAAAAAAACTTTAAAAATTATATCATTTTTATTTTTACACCGTCTGCAACTCATGAACCGTAAATTTTACAGGGAATATGCATAGGACATTTTTTGTTTAAAATTTCATGTAGAATATTTTTGTATATAACACTCTTTGTGCTAAACAGCTTAGTTTTCAACCAATTTTCAAAAAACTAAAAAAACTACTAAATTTCCTACTTTTTCTCCCCCTCCCCCCCAAACCCGACGCTCAAAATGGTGTAACTTTTCACCAAACAATAAGAGGGTTATATAGAACAATTTGGAGTTGGAATAAAACTTTTACTTTGGATGTCAAGGTTAGGCCTTTTTTTAAGTTAATAACACCGTACTATAAAGGTACAAAATGTGATTTAAGATTCGACGAACATGGATAGTCGCGAAGTTATTCAAAAATCTGATTAAGTGTTACAAAATATGATTGAAGACTAGACGAACGTGGACAGTCGCAATGATATCAAGAATGTGTCGTCCTCTTGTTATCCCATACTTATAGGATCAGGAACTGCTGATGTAAATGTGCGTTTTTTCTATTATTGTAGAAAAACCTTGAAAATGTGCTGAATATGCCTTGGCATTTCCTGGGTAACTGCGTAGTGGCTGATGCAATACTTTGTTATTATGGTGCAATCCATAGACAGAGGATTGCACCATAATAAATTGAGGATTGCAAATATACTGAAAACTTCTGAAAAAACATTCAGTGACCCTTGACAATCAAATTCAATTTTGAAAACATCCCAATTTATATACTCCCAGATTCATTTCAGAAAACTGTGAATGATGAACTGTTCTTCACTTCAAAGTTAAAGTAATCAAAGCCTTTGAAAAACAAATAATTCATTGAAAACTGCTTGTTCTGCTTTCGAATACAATTATTCAGTTTATTTATGGTGGAGTAGAAATGAATTCGGGAGATGAATGTGATATATTTGTCAAATTTGTCAAATATAACAGTCTTTGTGATACAAAAAACCATTGTAATGGATTCAACATAGCAGGAGTATATCGGTTTGTTCTCAAGATTATTTTCATTCTCCGATTCTGCAATTTCTGTAGTTCAGACAATTTATTCAAGTTGAAAAGATAGGACTGATGAACAGCAATCAAAATGTGGTTGTATTACCTATTGGTCTCCAAAAGACAATATGTTATCCAGCTGAAACCTCAAATTTCTAATGCAAGATTATTCAATTCAAATTTCGAGTATTTATATTTCGTAGTTATCATCATCAAAGCCTCAGTTTATATCCCGTTCAATTTCAATTTATTTGTTTTCATATATTCGTCAACTTTTTTCATTCAGAGGTAAATTACTACATGCAAGTGAGGTATCATCTTCAAATCCAAAATTAATGTACAAATTATCATCATTTCAGTAAAGTATGAATTAAAGCGATTCTAAATCACTCCCCTATAGTACTCCAACAAGATTTTTTCACCAGAAAAGCCCTTCCTCACCCTCACATTTTGTTTTTGTGCTTGAAAGTAGCCCCCCAACCCATTATAAAAACTTCTCTAATACCATAAGTAATTCTTCAATTTTGTTAACAATATGTTTCTATCTATAGTTTCAATTCTAAAGAGACGACTACTGAATATTTATCATTGTCTAACTCAGTTTTGAACTCACTTAGTGTAAGTTATAATGCAGATTCACGAGAATATGTTTTCTGGAAACTTGACTAGTTAATCAAAAGCGTCATTTGTTTTAAAATTTGATTGTAGACTGCCGTTTCAAGAACTTCTCCGATGGATGGTAGAGTATTGATGAGACAAAGTTCACAAGTGATACCTATTACTGACTTCGGGAATTGGAATGATGGTGCTTAGTTTCAACTTATCTGGTATTTTGCCCACAGCAGAAGAGGTATTTATTAAATGAAGGGCAACAAGTAATATAACTTCAAAAATATTTACAACATTTTTGAGTTTAATATACTAACCTTCATTATTTAATTATCGAGAAAATTGAGCGTGACATAAATAATTCGGAACAGCTAATACCATTGTTAGCTTGTATATCCTCAGTTCATAGAGTATATAGAATAATAGCGATCAATGAACTTGATCAGGTGGAAACTCAATTATAACACATGTGTACCGATAACACCTAATTCGAAACAAATATTTACCGACTTGATTATCCAAAGTTCGATAAAGTAATAGCACAAAAGCTTATCAAATATTTATTCCAAGTTCTTTATTTTGTTGCTTACAAAAAAAAACAGATATATTTGATAAGATCATTGAATAATCTGCCACTTCTTGTGAACACCTTTTTCAATCGTAAATTCTGTAAATTCACTATTTTAGGTACATTTTTTCTCATGAATAGTTTCGGGATTCTTATCTTTCACTTCATGGTATGGGTGTTCGCTGCTTATTTCTATCGAGTGAAGTAGTTGGACAACTCTGCTTATGTTGTCTTTCCCGGGAAAAATTTCCATTGATTCTTCCATGAAGATAACTTATTCACATAGCGTTATCAGAACAATCAGACTGATATCTCCTACTTGTAGAGTACCACACTGGTACTCCAGTTCCAGTTCTGGAAAGTACCCCTTCCTGAATCGAGTTCTTAGAGGTTGCCCTGAGTTTTTGAATATATCATACGTTTCACCAAATGCTGTCTGTCTAATCCAAATCAGGAGTTTTCGAAATATTTTATGTTTCATATATCAAAATAGATGGCGTTAGGGGTCACTTGAATCTTCTGTCAGATATGTCGAAGGTTGAGAAGAGTTTCTATTGATAGATAACTACAGTTTTTTCCAAATTTCTACGTGATATATCTTTGAAAATGGTAGAGGTTCTTTCCCACCAATAACAAAT